CCGTGCCGCTGCCAATGTTGTTGCCGCGTTAGTTGTTGCATCCGCGCATAGGGGCTTATTTGTGGCAGCCCCGCCATGTGCATACCCTGCCTTGGGTAAGGAGTGTGTGCGACTGGTGGGAAAGGATTTGTCCAGGCTTACTTGAAGACTTTTCTTTGAGATTTATTTGTCTTGGATCTAGTCAATATTTTCCAGTGTATACAAATGGTCTTGCAGTAATTATGTGCCTCAAAAAATTACATTATTTTATGGCAGAGTCAAAGAAGAAAATAAATGTGATAACCGTGTTTTTTTGCATCCATTTATTGGCTGGCCGGAAGGACATCCCTCAGGCGCTATGCTATGAAAAAGGGTTGCAAGGAAAAGGCTTTGAAAAGTGACAGAAAAGGTTTAGAAAAGATATAGAAAAGGTATGGTAAAGTCAGAGAATAGATATGCAGAGGAAATAGCAATTGCATTTTTAATTTTGTACACCACAAGAGCTGATTGACTGTTCTTCAGCGTGTTCTTGTGGTTTATTCCATTACCTTTGCTATGGATGAGTTAAGCAAAAGCAACAATACCTTCACATATGCCTAAGCCACATTCAACTTCTCTTTCCCAGGATATCCACCTAGTCCATCCCCACGTTTAGCCTCATTTCATTCGCCCTGTTAGCCCATGGTGGAGAGCGGAAGGGCGAGATCTCTTCCTTTTCTATCGCATATTTCACTACATTTTCATTTTAGCGCTTTCACACACACACTCACACTCACACACACACCTTCGAGCACACACATAAGCACTCTCATGCATGCACAGGCACGCAAGCACACACACACACACAAACACAATGGTCGCACTTCCTGTTTCCGCTTCCTGATGGCGGCGTCGGCGGCGGTGGCGGTGGCGGTGGGTCAAGGGAGAAATTTGCATAAATTTTCCGTACATTTCGCACAGAAGGCAAATTGCATTTTCAGCATAACACGTACTCCATTCTACTTATACCCGAACATACACACACGCAGTAGTTTTTCTCCCCTGCCGCCCACCCCCTCCTAAAGGTAGGCCGTGCCCCACCCCACCATCATCATCCTTATTTGCAGCTCCATCCTTATCCTGTCGCTCCATTCGTCTGGGAGCGTGTGTGTCTGTGTTAGTTTAAGGCATGCAAATGTTACGAAAATTGCTTTTCACTTTACTCACCCACCCACCCGCCTTCGCTTTCGCCGTCGCCTCCGTGTCTGTGTATGCATGGCATTGTCCCACCCACCCACACACACACGCTTGGAAAGACACTCTCGAAGGACATTTCCTCACACATTGACACACTGAAAGTTAAGTCAAGTGTTTGCCAGCAAGTTGTTACTGCTAAATTACCTTTTGTTGTAATTTTGGGACTCCGGACTCCGGACCCCCACAGAACTGCACAATGGACACAGTGGGCGTTTTTTTTTTAGTCATCGAATTTGAATGTAAAAATATTAAAATATATTCATGGCAAGGCATGGCCCACACCCCCTATCCCCTATCCCCTATCTCATGTAATATTTTGCGCTGTCAGCTAAATATTATCTCGTTGGGCTTTCGCCGCTTTTCCGTACGAAAAAATGTGCATTCAAATTTGCAATCAATTTCGCATAAAACTTGAATTCCGATCACCTGGAAATTTCACGGATTTTTGGCCACTGATAAAATATTATTGCATGCCATGCCCGAATTCATTTTGGCTGCAAAAATCATACAGGAATTTCATTAGTACTCGTATTTAAAAGGAAGGAAATATGGAATCTGTTTAATGGAATTATGGCATACTTTTTTGGGCTAACAGAGCGTGTTAAAGGAATAAAAGTTGGGGGATTTATGCAACATATTATAAATAAATATTATAGATTATAAGTAGTTGCAACATTATTTTTTTGGAGGCTTTGCCTGCAGGCTACTTTTCAGCATAATATTCAATTAGATAATGCCATTGCTAGCGATCCTTTATGCTGTGGCTGAGTTATGTTTGGAGCACTCACATACCACACACATTTCCAAATAAACTGCAAGCAAACTTTTGCGGTCGCTTTGTAGCTCTGCTACACAACATTTCATGCCACAGCAGGCCATTTCTCGACCATTGTACCCTGCCCAGGAATCTGTTAAATGATGTGTTTTGGGCCAATTTGAACAGAGCACCGCCCCGCCCCGCATCGCACCCCGTTTGCCATCTGTCTCTGTTTTGCCCTCAGTTTTATTTGGCAGTATGGCATTTAAAAACTGATTTATGCTGCAGAAATTTGAGTAAAAACATTTAATTGCTTTGAACCTGTGCTCCCTACTCCAAGTCTCTCTCTCTCTCTCTCTGCCCCACTCTCTGCTCGGTTGAGTGTTTTGTGGTTTCGTTTCGCAATGCAATGTCCAACCAACACTACAAAAAAAAAGTAGCGAGAAAGGAGAAAGGAGACAAGGAGACACAGAGAAGAAGAACTCAAATAATATTCTGCATACAAAATAACTCGGTTGGGTTTTCTCTAATGGCTGAATTTTAAAATGCATGAGCTCTACTCTACTCGGTTGGGACCTCTTCCCATCCTTCTGTGGTAGGTCCTGGGAGCATGTTTGTGTTGGGCTCTCAGGGTTGGGGGTGTGTGGCATGCTTTGTGAACTGTTGAAGTTTATTTTTGCCAGATTTTAATATGTATGAGTTGAAGATGAAGCATTTATGGCAACACAACACAGTGGCATCAGTGGCAGATAGCAGATAGAAATAGACTCTGCTGTGTATGTGTTTGGCATATTTATGCGGGAGCACATCGACGTGGTCTGAGGGCTCCCCCTCTGCTCCCTCAGCCGCCGAAGTACGAGTGTTTTTTTCGGGCATGCTCAGCGAAATTTGCACTGGCAAGTGACTGACTAATGTAAGTTACGTGTATCCCATCCTTACATGTATCCTTACTCCCAATGAGGAGTACTGCCGCACACCCTCCTTTAAGGCCTCATCCTGGTACTGGGTACTCCTCGCCGTGCTCCCGATAATGCAAAACATTTGTACTAGACACAAGGATGCTGCTGCTGCTCTCCTCTTGCCTTGGGTTGGGGCATCCATGTATGGAGTGTAGCATCTTTGTTGCGGCTCGTTAAGTGAGGCCGTATGCCATGTGTTTTATGTTGCTAACTCAATTTATGAATACCACCCATGAATCAGGGGGATTATGGACTCAGTCTAGAAATAGGCAACTGCTATAGCGAGAGATAAAAGCCCCCGACATTAGCAAAGTAAACGAACAGAAAACGTACCATACGAAGGCAGAAAACACAGCCCCAAATGGAATTACTTCTATATTTTTTATTGCTTTATTTTCTGGGCAGTATTCGAACCAGAAGGATACTTCGTACTATAAATTTCGCTGCAGCCTGCTCCGGTAACATACATTACCTGCTCCCAAATCAAAGTGGCCTCTTCACTCAATGATTCTCCATTAAATTTGCACTCCATGCAGCCACCATATCCACTCCCAATCACATCACACCACTCATTAGATATCCCTGGCACTCATCACCAGGGCACTGCCACTGCCACACACACATCAAGTAACCAGCAGAGGCCAGAGCCAGAGCCTCTGAAGCAGTCCCACACACACACACACTCGTTGCCAGCCTCTGGCAGGTCTGTCCAGGGATAGGCTCATTTCATATGCATCGTCCTGTTGGCATGTCCTCCTGCTCTCGTGTACGTTATTAACCGAATTGATGTGTTTGCTTATTTGCTTAATGTCTGAGGGTTCCCCCTCGCTTCTCTCTGTCTCTGTTTCTGTTGCTTTTTCTGTTTCTGTTTCTGTTATGTTAAGCTCCAGTTGCTGGGTACCTTCACACTCACATCGTGCCAGTCCTTTGCGTTTTACGTGCTCATTATCTGTGCTTCCGAACAATTAGATTCAATTACCCAACCAACAGGGTTCGCTGCTCCAGGACTTACTTTGTCTGCCTTTGATGGGTTAGTGTGTGTCCTGGTGCTGGTTGCTGGCTCCTAGGATTATTATTCCCGTAACGTTATCCGCATTCTTTGCACATCACACGTAGCCGTAGGAGAGAATCCATCCGGCTTATGCTGCTGTGCTCCTGCCAGACTTTGTCCTTGTGCATGCCGTTCGTGATGCTTCGACCCCGCTTAGTCCCAGAATCCATCAATATTTGGCCGTACATTTTAAATGATTTCTCGTAGGTAAGCTCGGGGATTAAAGAAGTATTAGCACCCATCAGGAAGTCAATTGCTTGTTAAATTCTCTCCCAAGGATATCCATCAGCAGCACACAAGAGGCAGAGCGAGACAGAGAGGGAGAGTGACAGCGATTCCTTGGATATTTTATGTTGCAAGTGCCGCTTATATATCATTCGTCCTTCGCCTTATTTATCTGGTGGGGCATCCCTCCAGCCACAGCAACCAAACAAACAAATTGAACAAGGACTTAGCCTTTATGTGGAGTGATTTGTCAGCTCAGACGGAAGAGATTGTTCCTAAAAGCCGATACCAAAAGGTGCCACAAATTTAATTTCATACAGCAAAATTATTTTGCCAAGAGCGGGTAGAGAAGAGAATCTAAATTAATGGCTCAGATTTGTCCCCCTAAGCACAACTGACTGTGATTTATCTTGAGGTTTAAGTAGCTCTGTTTAAGACTTTTCCCAATTAAAGAAAAACACTTGTGCCTGGAGTTTCATAAAATTACGTATATTTATTTTTTTATTTTTATAGTGTGGAGTATTTTGTGTTGGATTTATTATTATTATTCATTTTGTTGCCTTGCATTTCTTATGTTTTAATTATTGAAAAATCACACGGTAAATGATTTTCGACGTACAACTTACGAGTATTCATTTCTGATCTGATCTTGAAGGATATTCATATATGTATTTATGTTAAAACTGAAAGATGGTCGAAAGCTACCGAATGAACAACTTACAAATTAATATCACTATAAATGCTCAAAGGGTACCAGGATTGAGGGGCTAAAGGACTGAAGGGGGGGGGGATGTGTGTGTGTGCCAGTAATGAAATTAATTCAGAATTCAGTGTGAAAACTGTTTGCCGTGTCGATCATCTTGGATTGCAGAAATATCTCAGCATTGTCAGTCATCTAAAGGAAAGAGCATTAAAGAATTTGTTCCCGATTAAATTAAATCTAGGGACCCACCTCCTTGAGCGTCAGCAGCTCATCCTTATTCTCGTCGCAGAGACTGAACAATGTGGCCGCCTCCTGGAGGGCATATCGCGGCGTCTTCGGGTTCACATAGTACAGCAGCTCGCCCCGATCCGCCTTGCCGTCGTGATTCTTGTCAATGATCCGCTTGAACTCGGCCCGTCGCTCCACCAGCGTCTTGGAGATCAGCGACTTGCGCAGCAGGTCATCATCATCGTCCACATTCAGATCGGAGAACTCCTCCAGCGTCAGCTGATCGTCGCCATCCTGATCGAACTGCCGCAGCAGATCGTCCACCAGCTCCAGCAGATTGGACACACTCGATTCCGGGTGCCTGAAGCTCAGATACTCATCGATGGTCAGCGTGAAGAGATCGGTGCGTGCCGCCTCCGACCAGCGGGCCTTGTCCCGCATCATATCCTCGCGCGCCCGTCGATTCAGTGCCGTGTGCCTGATCTCATCGTGCTCATCGATGTCCGCCTCCGTCATGCCGTGCTCCCGCAGAAAGAAGCGATGGTACTCGTCCCAGGTGATCAGCCCATCGGCGGGTCCAGTGTCCACGCGCCGGAACTCGCGCACATTGTTCATAATCGCCTCATCGATGTGCTCCACAATGCGGCGATTTATGTACTGGCCCAGCTCCTGGATGGACAGGCGTCCATCATGATTGCGATCAGCTCTGCAAAGCGAAGAATGAGATGAGAAATGAGTGCTAAATTCTGTTCTTAATTCTGATGCTGCCACACACGAGTATTTGTTAGATAATTTCGAGATTTAAGTGACTTGAAGGGGGGCACTAATCAAATGTACATTATACATTAAGTGCCCCCAAGGCATGGCCCCGAGGCATTTCGGTTTCAAATCCCTGTTGCACACACTTGTCCTGTGGCTGGTTCTTCATCCTCTGCGGCTGCTCCTCTGCCGGGCTCTGCTACCTGCCACCGCAGACTGCATATGACAGCTGTCTAATGATTTCTCAAGCCCACAGGCTGTCCCTGGCTGTCACTCCCCCGCCCTGGCAATGGCAATGAAGTGCGAATGCCCAAAACAGGTGTCAGGCATTAAAGCTGCTCTCACTGGCGGAGCAGCAGCTAGGCAAGGCACACTCGACAGCAGGGTTTGGCACTGCCCAAAGGGACTTGCAGGGTGCCCAGGTAGCTTTACCTGCTCTGCAATGTGCCTTGGTTAAAGCCAAAGCCATCTAACCGCCAGAATAATCAGCAAGTATGGGGGAGCAGGAGCAAAGAGGAGTAGGAGAAGGAGCAGTGGGAGTAGGAATGGGAGTGGGAGTAGGAATGGGAGTGGGAGAGAAGGTGGAGATTGCGCGGTTTCCGCCTGGAACATTGTTTGTGTTTGTGATTGTGTCTGTGTGTGTGTGTGTGTGTGCGTAAGGACACAACGGAAAAGGAAGCGGCAATGGCAGTGGAAGTGGCAGAGGCAGCAGCAGCAGCATACCCCAGCAATGTCTGTGTCTGTGGCTGTTGTGCAGGAGGCAGCAACAACCAACCACCACAGCCATAGCACAGTGGTTTCATTAGCATATAGTTGATAAATAAATAAAGTTGCAACTAAAACGATTTTAAGTTGCCTCTGCTGCTGCCTCTGTTGCAGCACTGCCACCCACCTACTCGTGACTCCTCTGCTCTTGGCTCTCGAAACTTTTCTCTCTCCGTCGCTTAATTCTTCGCTTGGTCACGTTCTTGGTCGCCTCTTCTCGTTTTGCTTCTTTGGCTGAAATGTATATGAGAAACGTTTGCGGTCGTTTGCTCGGTTGGATCAAAGCGGGGCAGCGACACACACAGACACAGATCAGGGGAGGGGGCGAAAGAGCAGCAGCGAGGCAAAGAATGTAGGAAAAAAAAAAGAGAGCAAGCAAATCCTCGAATATAAAAACAAAGTTTTGGTTCGCTTTGCGTTTCTTTCTTTGGCATCTTTGGTACGTGCAAGAAAGTGAACCCCTCCCCCAACCCACCAACAAAAAAGAAAAAAAAACCATGGAAAAGACTGGTTTTAGATACTCTTTCAGCACGAAGCCGCCTCTATAAAAATTATGCGAATATTTTTATAACCAAGCAGCATGTGGATCGATTTTTTGCTGTCTAAAATCAAATCACCAAAGCCACTCCAAACATTAGATTCATTTAAAAAACAGAACGGAAAATATCTTTTCAAAAATTCCCTACTAAAAATTGAATTTAATTCACCAAAATGGATGGGGAAACAAGAGATTGGCACGAGTACGACCTGGAACAAATAAGGCTAATCAATTTAGAACTGGATCGTGTCGAAAGAGGTGAACCACCTGCTCCTTCGCAGCCAAGAGGCCAAAGGAAGAGGCCATCGCCCAACGAAAAGGAACAGTCGAAAGAGCAACAGGAAGAGATGTTGAAAAAGAAGCAATAAACCAACCCACACTACTCATCGATTGAACCATGCTAAGCCATAGTCTGCCCCACTCATAGTCCCTGAATAACACAACAAAAGGAAGAACAAAATAAAACTATTAACCATTTTCGCACACATAAATCCACATACATATTTATGCTGTAATGTTTAAATACTCCACAAACTTCATTCAAAGAGGATTCAATAAATGTGGCAAATGCAAAGACTAGCCACACAAAGACCCTGTTGCCCTTCGCTTCGTGAACCTTCTACAGAACCCTTTTTGCATGTAAAATTAGAAATACCTTCTGGCAAGGGTATCTCTGGCAAAGGGAACAAACACAAACGGAAACGAAAACGAGAACGAACTTTTTCATTCGTACATTTTTGTGCATTTGAAGCTTTTCGGAAAAGGAGCTTCGCCTAGACCAGGAAAAAAGGAAGTACACGGTTGTCCTCTCAAGCCCTAAGCAGGGAGGTCCCTTTCCTTATCCCCAGGAGCCAAGGGATCCAGGCATCCAGGCGGGGTGGGGTGGGGATTTGTTACAAAGCGCAAAGTGCATTTTGCATAAGCCTGCGGTAGCACTGAAGTTGGCCAATTGCTTGCTTGCTGCCACAGTTCCACAGAGATTGCCCGCCCCTGCAGTGTGCTGGGTGCCTGTGTCTGAGGACTTGGCCTACAGGATCATACGGAGCCATAGAAGAAGCTTTTTGAGTGGTGCATAAAACTATTATTTGATGGGCAGATGGATACACGACACACAGCTGGAGTACATATTCATGTTATTCAGATTCGGATTTATCCATGCAATTCTTTTTGCTACCTATCTCTCCCTCTCTCTCTCTCTCTCTTTGTGTCTCCTTTTACTGCCTCTCTCTCTCCACACTTTTTGGTCTCTTCCTACTCTTTTGTCACTTCTCTTGGTCAGAGTTTAAATTGAAATAATGCAAATTGTTGCCTTTAAAAGTTGTTAAAATTTTAAAGTGGATTTTGGGTTGGGGGAAAAATGCATTTTATTTTGGCATTAAAATACAGAAATTTCAATTTAAACTCAATGCATATTAGAGGGGTTTTAATATACTTGAATTTACCGTATTTCTATAGAAACACCGTATTTCTCCTTTCAACTTAAGACAAAAGAAATCATTCAAAAATTATTTTGTGCTCCCCGTTTATTAATTACTCTGCCCGAACACATCATATATTATGTTCAGTATAAAATGAACTGAATATCAACTAACCAGCCAACTCTCTGTACATTTTCCCACAATTTTCTAAAGAAAGAAAACTTTGGCCGGGCCGCGTGTTGCGTGCAAAGTTTTAGCCGAAAGTTTGTTGCATACTTTTGTGCGGCGGCAGCGGCAGCGGAAAAAGGAAGTGCGCCATTTTAGCGCAGTGTCCAATCAATGCAATGGCGGGGCAGCAAGGTGGGAAGATGGGAAGGGCAGAGGGCGTTTGGAGGGCATGGCATGCCTAATTGGAGGCAAAAGTCAGCATTGGACACAGGACATTAGCACGCCTCAGTGGGCTGGATCGGAATGGGATCGGATCCGATTGGATTGGTCATGCATATGGAATGAGATTGGAACTGCCATGTGACAGTGCACAGAACGGCGAAGCTAACAGAGAGACAGAGAGAGGTGTAGTGGAAGCGAAGTGCCGTTCACAATTAAAATTTATAACAATGTCCTCTCCGCCTCTCGACCCCCTTTCAACGCGGCAGGCGAGGCGACAGTTGCAGTTTCCATGGCAGATAAAATTTAATTGCTCCTAAAAATAGACAGGACAGCGAGCTCGCACATGGCACATGGCCTGCACTGCACTCCCCTGCTCCTCAACAGCCCATTGTCAACCGCATTATTAAAATGGAATTTATATGCCAGGAAGCGAGGGAGACAGGGAACAGGGGCGGGGCACACGGAGCCTCCACAAAATGATGGCTATTAATTTCAGACAGCAACGCAATTATCACAACATTTTCTGGTCAGTTTAATTGCAGTTTAATGCCAAGGCGACAAGTGGGCCAGCACCACATAATTCACACAGAAATCCCCCAGCCCAAAAACCCCTCGGGACTTGCCTGAAAGTTGCCAAAATGTGAAGCGAACATTTAGTGTAGTGCATTTCCCTGTTGCCCTTTAATTGTTATATTCGTATGGAATTTAATTTGATTTGTGATACGAAATTGAATGCCTGAAAATGTTTTTTTTTAAATTTTATTAGAATAGATATTCGAAATGGAATGAATGTTCGGCCTTTCCCCATGAGAGTGTCTGTCTGTCTGTCTGTCGATGGTTTTACGTTTTATCCTTTATCAAATATTAATAAAACTCAAATGCACACACACACACAGAAACATGTGCAAATACAAACGCAAATACAAACACAAACACAAATACAAATACAAATGTAAACGCCAAATGCGTACACGCTTGGCCACACTTTGAAAGTGTGATATGCCCTGAAGAGCAGGAAGCAGGAAGCATGGCCATGGCGTGGCATTAGCTTTCATTTGCTGTGCTCTCATGCCTGAGGCGCTCGCTGCACAGTGAATGCTCTGGTGATGGACAGCTTTGGCTGGCCCTTAGATGGCTATCATACTCGTAAATGTTGTGGGAAACGCTGTAGGTGCTCTGCAACACTCTCTTTTTGCGTTCGAATCGGAAAGGGAAAGAGACTTGCTCTGGCTCTGGCTCTGGCTGTGGCTGTGAGATGGCCCTAAGCCGAAAGCAATCAAGCAGATGCACTGCTCAAACGGAAAGTGCAGAAAGTGGGTGGCCATAAATTGTGCCTTTGGTATCCATTTTGCGTGTGAAACCTAATTGAACCAGCATAAATTCTCATTAGTTGACAGCAGAACAAACAGCAATATCCGTGTAGGCGCTGCCAATCCTCGAGGCCACTGCTTGGGCGTACCAGAATCAAACGAGTCCCCTGGCAAGTCTTCCCATTTTATTATTTATTGAACTGCAACTGAAATGAGTTTACCAAACTGTCTTATTTTTTTTTTTGGTTTATTTTTTGCTACAAAACGAAACTTTTGACCAAAAAACTTTTGTGGTTGGTGGGGGCCGAAAAACGAGAGTCAAATAAATGTGAAATTGCAGTGACAGTTTGATTTCGTTTCACTCTTGGAATGTACCTGCAATTTTCACTGCCAAAACTCCTTTTCAACACCTCAAGTTTTTGCTTGTTTTCCTTTTGGCTTTTTGTGAAATTTCTGGCCAGAAATTTCTGGCACTTTTGACTGCCTGATTACACCCACAAGCATCCCAGAAGCACAGCATCAAATTGCAATTTTAGCCCAAGACACGACCATGACTGGGTAAACTTTTAGGGGGCGCTGCACCCTGCACCCTGCCCCCCAAACCCCTGTGAAAAGAATCTATTACGACCTCTAGTGTGGCCAAGTAATTGCCCAATTGCCTAATCGCTTGTGCGGAGAGAGCGGAGTAGCCGGCCAGAACGTTTTATATAGTTAAAGTAATTAGGGGAATTGTGCAAGTCAGCCGGATGGAAATCAACAGAGTTTCCTCCCTGCCTGCCCAGGCAGGGCAGAGCGGGGCATGGCAGGGCTGTGGAAAGCTCTTTAAATTATGCCCAAAATATAATTGAATTTCATAGAAATTTAAAGACTTTTCATAAGTCTGTTTTCACTCTCACTTGCTTTGGTTCTCCCCCTCTCTCTCCTTTTTGGATCTCTTTAATCTCGTTTTAGTATGTGCCCCCACCCCACCCCACCCCACCCAATCAATGTTTATTATCTTGGTAATTCGATTATCCTCTGATTGCTCGGAACAAATCAAACTCATCAGAGACAACAAATCTCTGCCTCTGTGTCTGCCTCTGTGTCTGTCTGTGTCGCTGTCTTGGTCTCGGTCTCGGTCGCTCTGTGGCTTTATTGATTCAATCATGCTCCTCCGCTCTACTGCTGCCAACAACATGTACATCCATCAATTACGAATTGCGGATTCCGACTGGCTGTTGGCCACTAATTTCCACAATTTGTCGTACATAGAGTTATGGCTGGCCGGCTGGCCGTGTGGCAAAGGGAGACGACCTCCGACCTCCCTACTCTCTTGTGGTGTTTGGGGAGTCCTTTGCTCCTTCTCTGGGGAGTGCAGGGGCTGCCGATGCCGATGCCACAGGCAACATCGTTATGCGTAACAATAAAGAAGCTGCGCGCCAAATAATCAGAATCCCCGCCACCATATCAACCACCCACCCCCCACAGCTTGGCTTACCGTTTGAAAGCTTTTGCGAGTATTTGCTTCTCGTTCACATTGCTGGCCGCCAAAATAACTGTTTGTGGCTGGTTAGGGGATTTGCTGGCGGACAAAGCCGCTGACCGTGTCCCCGTGGCGGCGCCTCCTTCTGCTCCTTGCACTTTCTCCTTGGTGCTGGCCAAATGTTTGTTGGCTGATTCCTCGGGGGAGAGTTGCTGCTGCTGCCGGCTTCGGCTATTATGGCCCACATTGGGCGCCAATTTAGCCTCGGCAGCAGCAGCAGCAGCCTCTTGGGCAGCACCACCAGTAGTGCTGCTGCTGCTGCTGCTGCTGTGACTGCTTCCTGGGTCCTTTTGGTCCTTCTGCTGCGGCTGCTGCTGCTGCTGTTGCTTCTCCTGTTGTTGTTGCTGGTGCTGCTGCAGCTTGTGGCTGGTGCTGTGCAATATCAGGCCAATGAAGAACATATAAAACAAAATTGCGCACAATGTCGAGCAACGAAGCCAGCGGAAGCTTTTGCTCAGCTTGTTAACGAAAGTCATTTTGTAGGAGCCTCCACCGTAGTTGCCTCCGTCTCCTCCTCCTCCTTCTCCGCCTCCTCTGCTCTGGCTGGACAATGGATGGCAATGTCGACGGACTGGGGAGGGCGTTGATGGAACCAGCTGCTGCTGCTCCTCCTCCACCAGTTCCAGTGCCTCCTCGGTCCACGCGGTTTTGTGCTCCAACTTGGAACCTTTGCCGCTTCACCCTCTTTCCTCTTCCTCGCCGCTTCACCCTCTCGTTGCGTGTAATTTGCTGTAATTTCCACACACAAACCCTCTCCGCTTTCCGCGCTCCGCTCTCCGTTCTGTGCTCCCTCTCTGCTTTCTTCCTGCCTTTCAGTAGCTCCTATCTGCGTTGTTGTAATTGTACATTAATTGACTTTTATGCTGCATCCCAGCGACAGCGACAGGGACAGGGACAAGGATGATGATGGCTGCCAGTTCTCGGGCTGTGTGGGTTTCGGTGTCTCTGTCTCTACCAATTTGTACCGCACTGTGTGTGGCCACGCCCACTTTAAGTATGGCGCATATGGGGGGCTGGTCGAGGTACTAACTGTAACAAGTTCTAATACCAATTTGATGTGTTATTGCCACTCGCACGCTGCTCGTTGTGGTTCTCGGACTGCTTCTGGTTCTGCTTCTGGTTCTCATTGCCATTCCCATTTCCGTTATTCCTGCTCTTCATGGCAGTCTCTTCTGTGTCTCTTTGCTGTTGTCTTTTGTGTGTTGCTGCTGCTCTTTTTTATGCCAAGTTTACATGATTGTTACAGGCATCGTTTCCATTAAACATGATGCTGATGCTGGGGCTGGGGCTGATGCTGGGGCTGGGGCTGATGCTGGGCTGCTGCAGCTGTGAAAAGAATAAAATGGATGTACCATGAATAAAAAGTTGAGGAAATTGTTTGAGAGCAAATAATTTAGATTAAAGTTATGGGATCAGATCAGAGGATCAATTGGGTGTCCAGAGCTTGGAGCCTTTGACAGCTTTGACAACCCTTTGGAGTGCCTTCCGTTAGCAAAACTCTTATCTCCCCTGTGCTGTACAGCAGCCTTCCTCCACTCAAAGTTGCCCCTTTTTAAATGCACTTTCAGGCCAAAGGATAGCCGCAACCCTTGTGATATTTAATGGCGACCTGTGAGCCCAGAGCCTTTGCTTTAGTGGCACTGTCCACTTCACTCAAGAATTTCTGTTTTGCATTCAAGTGGTCCACCTTCAGCCCACTCCCACTCCCACCCCCCGCCGCATGCCCACCGCAAACTTATTAATTAACCCCCCACAGAAGCTCTTTGCTCACTTGAATGACCTCCCAAGGGACCTCTCGGGGCCAGCCACATCCAGCGGCAGTGCGAAAAGGGGATTCAGTCATTAAGCAGCCAACGAGCGAATTAGAAAATCCCCCAGCCCCATTCCCAACCCCATTCCCAGCCCCATAAATTGCACACTTTTTTGCTCATTTCATTATTGAAGTACGAGATTCCGAATCGGCCATTAAATTGAGGCCAAGCTAATGACTTACATAATGGAAAGCACTAAAACGAGAGTCGTAAATGAGATCAGCAGATGAGATGAGAGTTCAGAGTAGGGAGGGGCAGGGGCACTGGGACTGCGACTAGGCCATGGGTACTTCGTTTTGAAAGCTCACACATAAAATTCCAACATTTGTTCCGCAGAGCATTTATGCGGCTACATAAATGGCGGAGGGAATCAGAGTTGGTGGGGGAATTTAATGAAGTTTCCTGGCTTTTCATTAATAAAGTTGTTAATAAAAAGAGAGCCTTTATTCTGTTTCTTGGGTCTAAGATTTATGTTCCTTTACAGCAAACAACAAGAGCATGATGCCGCCCTGGAAATATATGCCAAAGATCTGCCAAAGAGATCTCAAACAATATATAAATTCGCAGATTGAAATCTCCCATCTGCTATTTTACAACATTTCATATTTAAAGCCTTTCCATTGATGCCTCTCAGGGAACAGGAACTTGACATTGCAGCATTGGTGGGCGACGAGCACACCCCCAACCCAGCCCCCACATTTATTTATTTACCCCTGCAGACCGACCATTAATTGAGTAAAGCAAATGGAAAATTTCCACCGAACTGCAAGCCACTCAACACGGAATTGCGGAATTGGTTTGTCCCTGCATTTGCCCGCAGAACTTCCCGCGCCATAAGTAAGCATAATTTAATCAGATATTTATACATGTTCTCCCCAGATGAATGCTCACTGAATGCATTAACATTTCGCCTGCTCCTCTCTCTCCCCCTCCCTAGAACCCTTCCACAGTCTACGAATGGATTCCCTGTACTGTACCCTTTCTGCTGCTTCTCTGAATGGATTCTCCTTCCTTGTATGGCAATCGCAGCTGGAATTCGATTTGACTTACTGACTCAATTCGGATTTCTGAATATGTTGAACCATACATATATGGAAGTGTTTCCCCTACTTCCAGAGCCAAGCCATTCCGTTCTCGTGTGTGTTTGTGTTTTACGATGCCCCCACTTGTTGTTGCTGCTGTTGCCACACTTTTTAACGCTTTTGTTTCGCGTCGTTTACTTTTGTTTTCGCCTGTCTGCTGCTGCGCTGCGCTGCCACTTCTGGCTGTTGGCCTGGCCTTTATTATGGCTAACAAAAAACCAGTTGAGCATCTTTTCAAACACTCGGATTCATGTTCGGATTCAGATTCAGATTCGAAGCGGGAGATAAAAATACAGAGATACACTCATAAGCGAGTGAGTCGCAGCTGCTGCTGCTGCTGCCCGCCCAAGTGCGAGATGGCGAGCATTGTTTTGTGTTGGCCAAGAGCATTTTGGCCACCACTTTTACTGTTTGTCCATTTCCTTTTTTTCAGTTTTTTATTAACTGGTCCCTCGTTCTCTCTGCACTCTCTCTCACTCTCTGAGTCGCTTGTTTTATTAGCTGCTCCCCAACAAAAAACAGATGGCCAAGAAAGGGAACCTTCACGCACAGCGACACACACACAAACACACACACAGAGAGAGAGAGAGAGGCAACAAAAAGTTGGTAATAAATTTTTAATGAAATTTTCTGTGCAACCTTAATGAAAAACTGAAAAAGCGGAACACACAGAGGGAGACAGCAAGAGAGCGACAAAGAGCGACAAAGAGAGAGGGAGAGAGAACGAGAGAGTGTCACAGAGAAACGAAAATGGTGCCACACAGCTAGAAAGATTTCTTTTTTAATCAAATTTATGTTCATATCTCGCCAAATCAAATCCAATTAGCAACTTTGTAAAGTACTTTCGTGGCACCCCTCGACTCTGCCAGCGAATGGATACGCCTCGGCTGGAATGGCTGCTCATTAAAAGTGTCCCTCTGCCAGCACCGGAGATTGTTATAAAGATTCACGCCCGCCAACGCCTCTCCGCTCCATAGATAGTGTCAATTTCAATAAAAATCGATGATGTAGCAAAAAGTGCATGAGGAAAAAAACGGGAGGGGATTGGGGCCAACAAAAAAAAAACGAAAAGAAAGTTGACACAAAGTGGGAAGGCTATGGGCAGGGTATTCGTACTTAAAGATACTCCTTATCCCTTATCCCTTAAAGTGTCTGAAATTAGCTGGGAATGCAGCTAACAAAAACCCCATTGAAAGTCCAAGATTTCAGCTCTTTTTTTTATCCAAACAAAGTTGTTGGCTTTCAGAGAGATTTCAGTGAGAATATCCATAAAAGATTTGGACATAAAACTCCATTTATTTGATGAAGAAAAGTGTCCAAAGATGACTCCAATTTATACTTAAGTCTTAATTTTAATTTTCACTAAATATTCACTAAAATAAATACACAAAATGATTGACAATTGATTGATGGAATATGTTGGCAAAATATCTGCTAAATAATATTCCTTTGCATTGTAAAATCTCCATAGAAACAATATGCCCTACACACTCGACTCTGCTACGGGGTATAAAAATGCGTTAAACTTTATTGCAAAACTATTGGCAGACAAGTGGCAGAAGATAGAAGGGACATCAGAGAAGGGCAGCAAAGAGGGGGCAGGGCAGCAGCAAATGCAGAGGGAACTCTGCCAACGGGTTGTGGACATCTGAAGGGGGGTCAAAAACTTCTGCCTGAGGAGGGAGGCTGGCAGCGATAAGCTCTCGCTGCCTGCACAAGTTTAAAGATTTGATTTGGCAAAAGCTTCTCCATCTTCCACTCTCCTCTTCCATCCTCCTCCGCTGGGAACGGGACAGAGCAGAACGAGCTGATAAAAATTCCTCCTCGATTCCTGCTGCACATTACAAAACGATGATAAAGATGATGATGATGGAATGTTTGCTCTCCTCTCCCATTGATGGATCCATCGTTTGTTTGAGCAGCAGCAGCAGCAGAGTGGGCAGGGGGGGTGCTTATTGGCCAGTTGAGTTGGGAATTGGCGAATAGTTCTGGCTGTGGGCTAAGGGGAAAGGATAACAGTTTGATGCGAGTGATTGTTTGTGCCACAAGAGGAATGCAGTTCGAGCAGCAGCACCAACAACAACAAATAGATCAGGAATGTGTGCTCCACAGGGGAGGGGAGGGGTAGGGGATTGCTCTGCTCTCCATCTATGATGGAATACCCCCGAAGGTTTATGTGGCATCAGTAGCTGAAAAGATTCAAAGGATTCTGTGGCAGCTTGTTTGAATTTATGGAAGAAGTTTCGATGCATTTCAATTCATTTTTAATGTTTGCAGGGACTGCGATAGAAGAGCATAATACTCGTAATTATTTCCATTCCAATTCCATTCCCTGCCCGTGAATCCTCTCGGAACTTCTCAGCCATAATACGCTTCGGTTTGAGCCAGCAATTATAATTAGCCATTTATGAATTGCTCTCCACTCAATATCTATTTCAGTTAACACAGAATAAGCCATACCGAAATGTACATCCATCCAGCCATCGATGGCCAAATCAATTCTATTAATTATAAGAGCAATTCACACAGACAACAACAGTCTGCATAACTGTCCAACTATCCATTTGTCTCCCACTCTAATTGAACGTTAGCTAAATCCTCCGCTGAGTGCTGTCCAGAAAAAACAGAAAACCCCTTTCTGGGGGTGGAAGCAACGGCAGCAGAGGCAGCAACAAAATTCCATAAAATATGCATAGGAAAATTCATTTCAATTTTTTGGCCATAACAACTTTCAAGAGAGAGAGAGAGACTCTGACATTTCAATTAAAACTCGAAGCGATTTGATGAGCAGCCACCAATAATGATCGTGATCATAACGATGATTGGAAGGGATTACTTATAACTGGAGGAGGGTAAACTCTGATGATAATGGGCGAGGGCGGCCTGTGCTGATAGATTTAATTTAACTTTTTAATGAACTCGAGTTGAAGCAGGCAGAAAAGTGGGTGGAGCAACCCATTGGGAAGCTGCCATTGCCACCCACAATTTATGCCAATTAGGCAAAAGAGTTTGTTAACATTTTACGAGACGGCTCGCTCTTACACCCCAAGGATTTTACGGATAATCTAAATTCGAATTTCGAAACTAATTCCGTTTAAGGTCTGTCTAAATTGCTCATTTATCCCCCCCACTCCCTTTTGTTTGCGGGTGTGTAATCTTATTTCTGTGTGTGTTTTGGGGGGGGCCCATAATCAACTCTACTTTTTGGGCAAAGTCAAA